ATCCCCTTTTTATATTTTCAAAAAAAAGAAAACATCACAAATATTCACTTCGAACGTGAAATATTGATTGAATATCAAGGCAATTTTTTTATTTTAACAGAAACGGCAAATACGTGAAAAACATAGTATGAAAATGCACGGTCAGTACGAAAATCGAAAAAAAAATATCATGTAGTATTCCTTGATCATGTAGTATTCGATACGCAGTTGGGTGCTAGATATGAGCGAATTTTACGATTATTTGCACCGGAAATTTTGTAAGCAGCCAGCTCGCATAGAGCGCAAGACTTGTAACCTCGACCTTGTTGGTTCTTTTCCCGGGCTGGCCAACTAAAATTACCGATTAGTCTTTCGGATGATACTTCAAATCGAGGTCCCGTGTATGGGTGCTAAAACAACTTGGCACGTTAAAGAAGGGGAAGCTTCTGGAATCGGGGCATCTTTCTATATCTGTAATTGCACTATCCTCAAAAATCTAAAATGATTTGTACTCTTCTGGCCATATGGACAACCGGTGGCGAGTATAAATAAACGCACACACAGTAAGCAGATGTCAAAGTTAAAATAAGTACGCAAGATTTAGTACATTTTACGATTTGTCAAACACTATTTACGCTTTGACATTGTGGCAAGTGATGTTTTACTCGCCAAGTCGCTTTATACTATGAAAAATTCTCAGTAATTATCATAAAATAAGAATACAAATAATTGATTAAGCTCATATTGGCCTTGCTGTTTGGCTGAAGACAGCTAGCCGTTTTGGCAAGAGAAGTTAGGCTTTTTATATCATTGCTTTGCTGTAATGAAAATCTTAATCTGTAACGCTTCATTATAAATATTTCAATGAAATTAAATCTGACATTTTTCGAAAAACACAAGACATGAATTATACTCGTACATATGTAACGACGATACTGGTTAGATATCTGTAACCACTTTTATGCTCGTCCTAAAATGCGCAAGTCGAGTACGTCATTGTGATGTTCAAACGACCATAAATACAAACATACGCACAATAGTGTATCTATTTTAAGATAATTTTAAGAACTTTATTTTTCAAAACCAAAAAATTGAACAGATGTGTAAAGAAAATATCTGTTTAATTTATTGCAACAATAATATGAATGACCACTGCCTTTCTGGCGTTAAAATGGAAATAAAAACACGCATACGACTAGCAAATTTGATAAAAGCATAAACTATTTGTGTGAACTTCATCATGCAAATTAAAATCTATTTTAGCATTTGTGACCATGGCCCATTGATCCCTTCCTCAATATAAAGGAAGAATACCATGCAAGTTATCTACCTTTCAAATATGAAATACATTTGTCAATAAATAAAGGCTGTAAAGTGTAGAAATCTATTTTAGAACTGGTGACCTTGACCCAACTGAACCATAACTCAATCCAAAGGAGAAGACCTCAATTCCATGTTCCTACCAAATATAAAAGACATCTTTCAAAAGAATAATGTTAAAACACCTGTAAAAATGTTAAAGTCTATTTTTGGCATTGGTGACTTTGGCCTTTACCCACAGGACCCCCAACTAAACCCAAAGGAAGAGGACCTCCCTTGGCATGTTTGTATTAAACATGAAATAAATAATCTTAACAATAAAGGCTTAATGAGCAAAAATGTTATAAAAAATTCACACCAGTGACCTTGACACTAGAGACCCCTCACTCCATAAAAAAACACGGCCATTAATGGTATCCACCTACCAGATATGGAAGATATCATTAAATAAATCTACCGAAATAGGTTAACCATACAAGGTCCTATTTTCAAAATGAAAAAAAGGAATATAACTTGAGAAAATGGATGGCAATATCATGAATTTTTAAGTTAGTGTGGAAACTATGAAGCCATAAGTATAGACAGTACTTAAATAAATCCAACTTGCCGGTTTAAGTTAATGATATTCATTCTCAAACTGCTGAAAATGGCAATAACTTGATTAAAATTTATATAATAATTATGTTACTTGCCATGATCATGTTTATTGTATTGATTAATAAATGTGTAAATTATGAAGCCCTTTGTACTATTAGATTTTAGGAAAAATCCAACTTGCCGTTTTATTATTTTGATCGTTCCATTTTTTATAACATGACACCAATTTTAGTCTACCAGGCTCCTAGACTGCCAGCTTTAGGCTATTAGACTACAAAGTTAAGTGCCCTAAAGGTAAAGGCGTTTTTGTCCATAATCATGCATGTGTATGTGCTTTTGCATGACCTTTCATAGTGATTTTACTGTATTTTAAATTGTTTCCATATTTATAATATAAGTCACTAACTTTAAGCTACTAGGCTGCCGACTCTAAGCTGTTAGATTGCGAACTTCAGGTTGCAAAGCTGACATCGATAGGCTGTTAGGATGTTAGGCGGCCTCCTAAGGATACTAGGCTACCAACGTTAGGCTAACAGGGCGTTAGGCAATTTATTAAGGTCCAAGTCGTCAGCAATTTAGGCTTCCTCTTCCGACAGCGAGACAATTTGCCTCCTCAGTCAACAAGGCCATCGGACTGCCACCTCAGGCAGCCTTCTCTTCTTCCATTTTACAGACACATTTGTACTAAACTATTTACAGAACAATGCAAATTTTGCAGTTTCATACAAATAGTAGAAAATTGTTTAATTATCAATATGTATAAGATCAGCTAAAAATCAAACGCAAAACAATATACATTTATTTACAAGATGAGTATTATCACCGCCTAAATTGTAGCGCATTTCCATATATAATAAATTCACTCGCTTTCAAATTGAGTACTAGGCAGATTTAATTAATATGATACAACAATAAAACTTGAGTTCAACAAAAAATTACATCTTGCGACATTTAACGGTAGTGTTGCGACATTTAACGGTAAGGGAAATTCGTGCGACATTTAACGTTAACATTGCGACATTTAACGTCAAATGGTTTTGCGACATTTAGCGGCGGTTGCGACATTTAGCGTCAATGGTGCGACATTTAGCGGCAAGTGCGACATTTAGCGGCGTTGCGACATATAACGGCGCCACAACTTGCAATATGATAAACAATCTACTATAATGTTATGATAAGAAATCCATACTTATAATTATGAAATATAATTATGAAAGTTGGGTTTTCATTTCAGAATTATAAGGGGAAATATATGTACATTTATAAGCGAGATTGGTAAAATATAAGCTAAAAATCACAAATTTAATATGTTTTTTTTTTAATTATTTAATCATAGTTTATAAATATTAATTCAGCATAATTTTAATGATAAATTCAACAAAACAAAATCAGTGATCAGTGATCAATTCAGTCAGTCAAAACAACATAGCTTATAAACATGTTCTGATTGTTGATTAAATATTTTATGGACTTGTTTTATCTTTGACATCCCAATTAATGTTAACGGATACAGGTAATCCATGTTGACATTGTTGAAGTTTGAAGCTTCCACAATTGTTTCTGGTACTTCACTTTTATTATTTAACATGTGGCAGTTTGTTTGCCACATATATAAAGATTTTTTTCTGTTTGTTTTTATTTTTTATATACAGAGTCATTTTCTGTATAAAACACTAGTCTCGTTCCTAATGTATGTTTTGGCCATGCCCGAGTTGTATTGTCTTCCTCACTTGTTTATCATATGCGTGTTTGTTTTCCCGCATCATACCGGGTTTTTCTCTCATTTATGTTAACATATCCGAGTTTGTTGTCCATATTTTTAAACACGAAATATTTGTGTTTCTCATTTGTGTTGTTCCTCATATTCGAGTTAGTTTGTTTTCCACACATCACATTTCCCTCATTTGTGTTGCGAGGTCTGTGTTTGTTTCAACTCATATTTTTTCTCAATGGAGTTTTCCGTCATATTCAAGTTTATTTTCCACATACAATGTTTTCTCACACTTGTATGTTTGTGAAGTTTATATCCCCGCATCACATATTTTGTCCATTTGTGTTGTGTGCCATGTCCTCCAATTGCACTCCCCACATTTCCTCACATTTGTGTTACGTGATTTATTACATGTCCTCACATTTGCGGTGTCCGACATATACATGTGCCGCATTTCTCTTAAATTTTAGTAGTTTGTTAGTTTTTAGTCTGTTGCCCATACGCAAGTAACATCTTCTTTCATTAGTATTGTTCATCAATTTGAGAGCAAGTCCAGAACACATTGTTCTCATGACAGCTGTCAATATACAATAGTCTATTCTTTCTCAGCCTATGTGCCACCAGGCACGAAGAGGATAGGTAGGTTGTCTATTCTTTCAGAATTACTACAACACCGTTAGTGCTGATAAATACAATATAGTCTCTATACATCTGTTTATCACATAAAATGTTTATGATACTTCCTGTTTATCACAGAAAGCATTTATATACTTCCTCTTTTATCACAGAAAGCAATTAGACTTGCTGTTTAACACGAAAAGCAAATACACTTGCTGTTTAACACAGAAAGCACTTACACTTGCTGTTTAACACAGAAAGCACTTACACTTGCTGTTTATCGCATATGAATGTTTATATTATGCCCGTATCATTCAATGCTGTTTATACATAGATTCGTTTTTATACCCATTAGTCTCTGGTAGATTTCTTTTCCAAATCAACCGATGATATGGTCCCTTGTGCCGGATACCTCTCACTTAAGTTATACTGTTTATCACATGTGCGCCGACATGCAGTTTATCAAAGGATATACCCTGTTTATCCCTAATTAGCATTAGCACATCACATACTATTTGTCATTTTGTCATTAACGCATACTGTTATTCAAGTTATGTTTAAAACATGGTACCTCGAAAGCAGTTACATACTGTTTGTTATAAATAAACATGGTACCTCGAAAGCAGTTCCATACTGTGCTATAAATAGGCTGTCACGTCATCTATGAAGTATTGTCCACTGCATAATGACTACAGCAGCTTTGTGTCTTTTTCCAACACAATAATTTATCAACGTCTGCAAATTCAAATTGAACCATGATTTCCAACTACCAAGCGACGTCTTGTTGCGTTTGTGAAGTAACATCTTTCCGTTGCGGCTTTCATGAAGCCACCAATAGACATGATTGTGTAAATGATTTAGCGTTCATAACATAAATGCATAAAAAACAAATATCTAAACAAATGAGCAAAAGAAAGGAAAAAACAAAAATAAGATAAAGGGGGAAAAAAGGGAAAAAAACTTATGGGGATTTTGGTGGAGGTGGTGGGGTGTTTCCTCTCCAGCACCTGACCTTGGCTTGTGCGTTGTTTTGTCGTTTAGCCAGTGGGTGGAGAACATTTTCAATGTCTGCTGTGCCTTCATTCCTGCAAAAGAAACAATGATATTAATTTTCTATTTTTTTTATATATATTTGAATTCTCTCTTAAGTAATGAGGTTGATTATGATACATGACAAAGGCTATACAAACAAATATTTAATTGCTTGGAAAAAAAAAACACAAAGAAATAGCAATGATTAATAGCGAGTTGATGTAAAGCTGTTCAGTTTAAATTCAACAATTATATAAATTCATCTCAAGGCTGAAAAGTGAATAGCGCGCCTGACTGGTCATCTAAAGATTGCTGGCAACGTGGGTTCAAACCCTGTCATGGACAAACCGTTGTTTCCTTGCACAAGAAACTTTACACTCATTGCTTCATTAGTATTGCTTGGTTCCGAAAATTGATTCGAGTGTGTTAATCTTACAGCTTTCTTCACAATCGAACAAAAATGTTTTGTATAAACTTAGGTTATTCAAAGTTGTATTTATTTATTTTTGGTTCTGTTGAGTTAATATGCTCTGATTGTTTAATAAAGTAACGTTTGTAAAACCCTTGTGCCAAAATGACTCAAAAATAGCAATCAACATAAAGTAATTGAATAAGATTTGCTAAGTGTATAAGTCATGTAAATTTAAAGCTCCTTATTAAGTACACAATTTGTGACAAATCATTTCGACTTACTCTAACACCCACAGTTGGAATGGTGACAGCCCATTCATCCAGGTTGTACTTCCCTGGTACTTCCTGAGGCACCTTTGTCTGAACACCTCACTTCTGAGGAACTGCTCAACATAATAAGCCTTATCTACGTCACTTAAGTTGTTCATTGTTTTTGGATAAACAATTCCTTTATCTGGTCGAGGAAGTGCCTGAAAACAATTATTAGATTAAGTTATTCATCTTTAACCCTTATCAGGCTCAATATTCTAAATGGACTTGTCCATATTTTTATCTGGACAAAACCATTCAGCATTTTAGGGAAGATGTCTAAGTACTGACTAATTATTGAACAGTGCAGACCATGCTTAGATGGCACGAATATGTCGGCTGATCTTGGTTTGCACTGATTACATGGATAGAATCAGATGCCCCCAGCAGGATGAAGGTTAATTAATGCTGTGTACATGTTTCAAATGTAAATCGTCTGCTAGGTTAAATGAAAACATGTATTTTAAAAGGTGAATGAATTAAGGTTTCAGTCTAATTTGCTAAAAATAGTCATAATAATTATAATGTCCAAAATTGTTCAATTATTCAGTTACACAACGAATTAATTTTATTCTGAGGGAAATTAGACAGTGTGTGGGTTTTATCTTTTAATATGCTGTCCTGAAATGTTCAATCATAAAATTCCAAAAATGCATTTTATTTGGAGAAACACAATACGGATTTGCAACTAAGCGCCATGTTTTATTGTGTGAGTACCTATTTGAATTATTTAGTGACAATCTAAACAAATCAAGCAGCAATATAAAACTAAAATTTTTAAAACAAAATGACCTGAAATGTGACAGTAGGAATATATCATTGCAATAAGAAGTCTCGTGTAAATGCGATAAGAAATGGTAGAAAAAATAAGACTTTATACTTACTGGGTCTCTCTTTTGTAGCTTAGCAATTTTTGCGGCTATTTTAGTCTCATCTTCCACAGTGAGTTCTTCCTTAGGTTTCAATGGCTTTTTAGCTAAGCAAGAACAATTATTGTTATTACACAAGTACATTATTTACGTTTAACAGTTCAAATGTTATAATATTTTGTTAAAACGTACTAACAAAATATTCGTAGAATACAGTTTTTAATTGCATATGTCACATATTGATATCAATGTTTAAACATCACCTTATGTAAAAAAAATTCATTATAATATATACATGTATTAAAAGTCTTAAAGTAAAAGTATTGAAATTTTAAATTCATCAATTATGACAATTAATAAGCATTTGTATTTATTATAATATTATGTATCAATATGTATATCAGTACCTTTGGTCCTTGTGTGGTTTACATCACTTCTTGTCCTAAGACCTTCAGTTATCATGCCCTTGACCTTGTTTCTGCGACCTTCATTCTTTGCTATCTTGTCGTCTGCAACGGTCATCCTGCCGTCTGCAGCGGTCATCCTGCCGTCTGCAGCGGTCATCCTGACGTCTGCAGCGGTCATCCTTCCGTCTGAAGCGGTCATCCTTCCGTCTGCAGCGATCTTACTGATGTCTGCAGCGGTCTTGTTGACGTCTGCAGCGGTCATTCTGTCGTCTGTAACAATCATCTTGACGTCTGCAGCGGTCTTACTGTCGTCTGCAGCGGTTGAGATATTCACTGCGGGCTTATCTGATATATCTGTAACATCACCCTGTGCATGTAAGGAGGTGTTTCTTTGAGACCTATGACTAACGATCTCTATATCTGTTGGACCAGCTGTTTCACATCTTAATTCATCATTCGTTGCCTTCGACTCATCAACTTGTGGGCTTGGAAAAGAGTGGCTGCTGTATAAACCATCATGTTCTCTGTCAAATACTTCCGTTGGTCGT